AAAACTAAAGACATATTCTATCAACTAATAGAGCTATTTTTTTAAAAGGTAGGACAGAAAGTGACTTCTATACTTTTGAATTTGCCCAAAATTTAGGAGGTCTTTAGACCAAGCCAACTATATAAATTTTCTTATTTTTCACTTAAAATTAAAAAATGTCAAGACAACAACAAAGACAAGCAAATGGAGTAGCATAAGGATGGTGATTATTGCCACTTATCATCATTCTATTTTTTTAAAAAAAATTGAAATAATATCATTGAAGAAAGAATTAAAGTTGTTATAAGATGCAGGTGAGTTTTACAAAGGATAAAAATATCAATTTGACAATAATTTTTTTAAACAGTATTGATTGTTGTTAATTAATACTTTGTTGTTTTTTCTTTTTCGAAAAAATATTTAAAAGAAAAATATTAAAAAGAGAATCAAAATCACCAGTTGTCATTAAGACTACAAATCGTGAAGTACAAATAAATTTTGAGGATGCATCATGTAAAAGCTATACTTTTGACAAAGTATTTGGAAATGAAGCAAACCAACAAGATATATTTGACTCAGTGGTTGTCCCAATTAGTGTTGGTCACCAAAACTATTTTGAAGAGATGAAAGTCAAAACTAAATTAAAAATTATATGTCAAAACTAAATCAAAAATCAATAGTCAAAAATCAAAACTAGTTTTGACTTATGGCGAAACCTTTTGACTTTCGCATAGTTGCGAAAATCTTTAGTTTTGGAGACCAACACTAGTCCCAATGTTAGGTAAGGTATTAGGCGGGTTCAATTGTACTTTGTTCACATTCAACTGGTAAAACATATACAATGGAAGGAGATTTGAATAGTGGCAGCAATACAATTATTAGTCCAAATGCTGATGTCATCCCATGTTCCTTCAATATATTTTTGAAGCTTTAAATCCAGAATCTGCTGAATCTACTGATTATTCAGTGAAGGTCTCATATGTTGAATTGTATAACAAAATATTGGAAATTTCTATTGTCTAATAAGAATGGTTTGAAACTTTAAGATGATGCTAATAATAAAGCTGTTTTACGTGGGCATGAAGAGATATCTTTAAACAATGCTGCTAAAGGTACCAGAGTTTTGAAACAAGGATCTATCAATAGACAAACTACTTTGACCAATTATAATAATAAATCAAGGTATCAAGTGAATTAATTGTTTAGTAACTATATTAGTATATTCATTAATTTAAAATAATTGAATATATGTGTATATGTTATTATTATTAATAGTCATTCACACTCAGTGTTCACAGTAACAATCCATATTAAAGAAATGTGATCTTATGGGAAGATTTGTTGAAAATTGGGAAATTTAATTTTGTCAATTTAGCAGGATCAGAATGTATTGTTTGTACAAGTGTTAAAAACACACATGCAAGAGAAGCTGAAAAAATTAACCAAAGCTTATTAACACTTGGTCGATGCATTAATAGTCTCAATGATAATTCAACTCACATTCCTTATAGGGATGGTATATATATATAATGCATCTGGGACAACACACAGAATTACTTTTAACCTCCACACAATCAAACAATGTTAAAATATCACACTGCGTGTTGTCAGTAAAGTAGGTAGCCCCATATATAATATATTAATCAATTAAATATTGTTAAATTGGAATAATGATTTTCATTTATTATCATTATTATTTTTATTATTAAGGGAGAGCAAATTAACCAGGTTACTACAAGACTCACTTGGTAATAAGGTTTCTGGTCCAAACTGTTTTCTCAAAGCCCAAACTAGTTTGGGCAATTTGGGCTTCTCAACATTTTCTA